GCGACCAGCCATTCATTCATTCCTGCGTAAGCCATGCGGAAGCGCTGCCATAGCGACTTGTGTGAGGTGGTCTGCAGTGAGCCCGAGGACGAAGTGGGCGAGAAGGAAGTTAGCCATAGCTATAGAGTAGCAGCGGCCATAGTCGCCATAGCTGTAGGTGTGTGCGGGTGTGTGCGAGTGTACAGGGTGTTGCGTGTGGGATATCCAGGGTGGTCCTGTGTGCGAACAACAATGTTGAGTAAGTGACGAACAGAGAGTTGTACAGGCGGGGTGCTGCCATAGCCGTTTGAAGTGAACTTGTATCTGAGCTGCGTTCTTGGTACTATATCTAGGAGTTCTGAGTGGGCGCTTGACGCCAGTTTGCTGTGCATCCTGTTTGCATACATGTGAAGTGTGAATGAATGCGAGTCTGATTGCAAAAGTCATGTTCACAAGTGAAAAGTCATGACTCAAAGGCCCAAGCAGCAGCAGTCCAACGGAAGATCGGAAGGTTCCAGGCCTTGACATTCAGAAGCAAACAGGCCGTGGGGATGTGGTACCGGAACCAGTTTGGTCTCAAGAAACAAAGGCTGGCACGAGTTGAAGTGCAAACCAAGACTACAAAAGGACTGGCCAGCCTCGCATTCGGGCAGATTGCTCATTCGCAAGTAGTGTGGAAGTGCTGGTGCACTTGTGCGCTGATGTGAGGGGTAGAGCGCTGAAGCCAGAGTGTTGCGCTAAGAGAGAGAGAGAGAGTGTTACATGCCCAGTTGCGCGATGTACATACAAAACCGAGGATCCGTAGTGTGATAAAAAGGACTGAATGGACAATACAGTGCAAGTAGAATCTCAACAACCAACGTGCATTCCGATACATACAAAATGGTGCTTTTATAGCACAGGGAAGACTTGGATACAAATCCTGACCCCACCGGGACTGACCCCTTTCACGTAGTACAAGATAGCGAAGCAAAATGCTAGAATACTAATGACTAGCCCAATCAATGTTTCAACGCAGACCAAACATACATCATGCTCATCACAAGATGTGAAGGAGACTGGCGCTACACACAGGAAGGAAGCGCCAGGTCCAGACATACACAGACAAAGAGGAGGGGATCAGACGAAGAAGAGGGGGAGAGATGGGAATGTCGTCAACACCAAGTCTTTGTCACAAGTCCCAAATAGTCCCTTGTCGAAATGTCTGAAGCCCAAAAGTCGAGTCTGAATCCAATGTCACCAAGCTCTCTCTCTCTCTTTCTCTCGTAGTCTGCTGATGCAGTGAAGTCAGATAATGAGAGGGTGAGAGGGAGATGGTGGATTGAGAAGAGGAAGAAGAAGAACCCTCTCTCTCTCGTATGCCAGGTACTAATATGTGAAGGTGGCGCTGTGCTGCAGGTACCTTGAAGACGAAGCTAGAGCAACGGCGCCGCAGGTAAGTATCCCTGGCCTCCGCCCAATCTCTCTCTCTCTCTAGTACTACCCTAGCTATGGCGCCCAGCGTTGAAGACTACAGATACGCTACTAGTGCCCAGTGCCGAAGACTAATGCTAACGCTACTACCACTGCTCCTGCAACACTCCTCCAGAGTGTTGCTGCCGAATCCTGAAGACTACTAACTGCCTCCTGCCTACCCGTGAAGTGCATGGGAAGTCCCTATGTACTATCTCGGCCTGCCTCCTGACTGCCTCCGACTGCCTGCAGTTGCAGGGTGGGCAGTCCAGGAGGCTGCTCTTGCCAATGCCAAACTGGGGCAGGGCATGGCGCTGCAACTGTCGTGGGAACAGGCCAAAAATAGCCTGTTCCTAGAAACCTGGTTTGGTGCCTGAGTTTCAGGGCAGGCCGGTTTGATGAAGGACCGAAAATGGCCCTTCGTTTTGGACTAAAAGGGTTGCTGCCATTTTTAGTATGAAACGACACAGGTAAGTAGGCCCCTGTTTTCCAGGCTTTCGAGCTGAACTGACACGGGGCCTGTAGGCCCTGGTTTTCATGCTTTCGGCCTGAATTTCAGGCTTTCAGCCTGAGGGACGCAGGGCCTTGGAAAATGGCCCTCGTGTGCAGGCGCAACATGTAACACTCCCCCCTTCTTATGAAGTCAAGCCGGGGGGAGGGCGAAGCTGACGATCTGAAGGTGGAACCTGGACGCGGGCGTGGCGTGGAGCCGAAAAGACTGGCTTGCCTTGCATCTTGCGTTCGCAGCGTGCGAGAACGTCTAGAGCTGTTGCTTGAAGTTCCGCACTGGTCAACCAACGGTCAGCTCGATGTGTGCAGTATGCAAAATGTACCAAGTATTCGGTTGGCCTGTTGCCATGGCGTCGCTGGGAGATGATGTCGCCGACCTCCTAAAAACCGTCCATAGAGGGTGGGTCTTGCGAACGTCTCCCGGGAAAATCGTCATGTTCCGCTGACGTGTAAAGAGCCAACTTGGAGCAATGAAACACTGGGTAGACGGGCAAGTGGGCGGGCACCTGAATAGTGAAGGAAGGTCTCTCGGGTGCATCCCCAGCGGGTGCCACGATCGGCCAAGGCCCCATCCCTTTCGGGAGGAGCTTGCGAGAGATATCTTGTTCAAGGCTGAATTTCGCGGCGGAGACCCAAACGAGATTGCCGACGCGGAATGGGCAACGAAGACGCTGGCGATTGGCCTATTGGCTCATGCGTTGCTACGTCTTGGTCATCTGGTCGCGTGCCTTGACAAGTAGCTCTTGCATCCGACGCAAGAAAAAAAGATGGTCGTCGCTCTTCGCCGTTTGTGGAGTGATGGTGTCCAACGGCGAAGTGACCTGCGAGCCGTGCTCAAACTCGAAGGGCGACATCCCGATAGCCGGGTGGATGGAGGAGTTGTAGGCCAACTCGACATCCGGCAGCCGCTCAACCCAATCCTTCTGGTCAGGACGGATGAGAGTGTGAAGGAGAACCTGTGCGGTCTGGTGCGCCCTCTCCATTTGGCCATCGGTCTGGGGGTGGCGAGCTGAACTGGGCTTGAGAGATGAGCCCCATCGCTTGATGAGTGCCAACCAAAAATCGGACATGAACTGAGTGTCACGGTCGCGGACGATTTCCTTAAGGTAACCCTTGGTTCGAATCCAACCGGCGTAAAGAACGTTGGCCAACTTCGGTGCCTTAGCATGATAGCGGCCAGACAAAAACATGGCGAACTTGGTGAGTCGGTCGACCACCGTGAGAATCCCATCCACGTCGGTCTTGTGCTTGGGGAACGGGCCGGTAATGTTCATGGCAATCGCTTCCCTTCGCCTCAAAGGGACCGGTAATGGTTGTAACTCGCCGTACGGACGATGGCTGCGGGATTTGCAGCGTCGGCAAACCTCGCATGACTCGCAATAGCGTGTGACATCGCCGACAAGGTTGGGCCACCAAAATCGCTCGCGAAGTCAGCCAATCGTGCGATTGACTCCAAAGTGTCCAGTGACGGGAGCATCGTGGAACTCGCCAAGAAGCCGTGTACGCAAGTGAGGATCACTCGGTACGCAAAGAAGGTCCTTCCCCCGTGTGTGGACAAGCAAGTACCCCTCTTGGATCCGGTAGTGAGAAGGCGCCGGATTAGGAGAGGAGCAATTCGCGTACTTGTCGCGAAACTCGGGGTCGGCTTGGTAGCCGCGGATGAAGTTGTTCTGCAGGTCGTCGTCGATCTCGAAGGTTGAGTACACCGCGGTACAATGATCCGGACGTCGTGAAATAGACGATGGCAGGATAAGTTTCCAGAACTTATGTCTGAGGAGAACTTACTGAGATACTGGAAACAACTCAAGAAACAGCCTAAGCAAAAGATCGCTGGTCTACTCTGGTTACAAACTCTCAATGTTACACCTTCTGCAGAAGGGCTCATTTCCAGGAAATGGAAGTCTCCCGAGCATGCTCCAAATGTAGGTAGGCCTGAGAATCTACCTCACATATGGGGTCCACTGCCCCTTCTCTCTTAGATTGTGACGATGGTGGAGGAAGCATTGGAAAGCGTTCTCAGTCGAGGCTTTCCCTTGGTCAGACGAATGGATTGAAACAAGTTTAAGGCTGCACATACAGGGCTATGCCACAGGTTGGGGTTAAATGGGACAGACCTGCCGGGGGATTATCACGAGCCTCATTTGGCAGTCTAGGAACTTCCAGGAAAAGGTCAGCTACAAGCTTAGAGCAAAACGGTTCGACTTCCCGGGAATGTGATCGGGAAAGAAGTCGAACTGGTCGATGAAAGCCATCCATCGAGCGATGGTGCTGTTGACGGTGTCTTGGGTCTTATAGAAGACCAACGGATTGGTGTCCGTTACCCATCAGAATTGGCTTCGACCAAGGATGAAGTGCCACCACCGCTTGAGCGGGTGGACGAAGACGAGGAGCTCCTTCTTGCGTGCATCGTCAATGGAATGCACGACGGGCACTTTCTTGCTGAAATACTCGATCGGGTGCCAGTCCACACCATCATGTTGCTCGAGGCGGACGCATCCATAGTGACGCGCGTAGGCAAAAGCGGGTCGTATATGCACAAAAGCTCCACAGATAATAGCGCGGCTTCGGGAGCCAAAAATGATTCTCGTGCCTCCTCTCTGAAGTCAAACGGCTGATACTCGCATTGAAGCTTGGTCAAGTGGGCCGTGATCTTCGAGTAGCCTTTGATGAAACGCTGATAGTAGCCGGCGAGGCCAAGGAACAAACGGACATCCGTGACGTTCCGAGGCTCCGGCCACTCTTGGATGGCTTGAATCTTGTCCGATAGCGGACTGATGCCCTCTGGTGTGACAAAATGGCCCAAGTATTCCAGCTCTTGCCGGACAAATTCGCACTTGTCGCGGTTGGCCTTGTACTTGGCGCAGCGGAGCGTCTCCAACACTCGTCGAAGATGCCCAAGATGATCCTCCAAAGTCCGGCTATAGACGAGAATATCGTCTAAGTAGACCAGCACGAACCGGTCCAACATTGCACGAAACTCGTTGGTCATTGCCCCTTGAAAGGTCGTTGGGGCGTTGGCGAGGCCAAAAGGCATAACCACCCACTAAAAATGCCCGTACCGCGTCTTGAACGCGGATTTGTAGCGATCGTTCGGCCGGATCGAGATTTGATGATATCCCGACTTCAAATCCAACTTAGAAAAATACTTTGCGCTGCCCAATCGCTCAAGAAGATCGTCGATGCGAGGAAGAGGCCCCGCATTCTTAACGGTTTGCACATTGAGCTTGCAGTAGTCGATGCATAAACGTAGATCCTTGTTCTTCCGAACGAAGAGAACTGGTGCTCCATATGGGGAGCTACTAGGGCGGATCCAGCCCTTGGCCAACAAGTCGTTGAGTTGTGTGCGGAGGACCTCAAGCTCCTCCTTGCTCATCCGATAGATGCAACCTTTCAGCGGCACGACACCGGCCTCGAGAATGATCTCGTGAGAGATCGGCCGATCTGGCACGACACCGGTAGGTGACTCGAAGATGTCCGCGAACTCGTCCAGCAACCACACCACCCGGGGGTCCGAAGACAAGTCCATGGGTGAAGAGTCGGCTACCGCGACGGTCCATAGGAAACATAGGCCGATTTCCTCGGGCTGCTCGTAAGCGCAAGTCACCCGGAATGATTTGGTCGTCACCACTTGGCACCGAATCGAAGGGTGCGTGAGAGGAATAGTACATGCCATTTCGGCGCCGAAGGCGTCGCGAACGCTAAGAGTCCGCCGGTGGAAGTTGACCGTGTGATCCGCACTTGCAAGCCAAGGCATTCCGAGAATGATGTCGAAGTCCGTGTCCATAATGTCGAACGTCACCGGTTCGCATGCATGAGGTGCGAAATACACCGGTACGGCCTCGATGTAACGGTCGAGAAGTTGCTGCGTCTTTCCATCCGCCAACTTGATCGCCGTCGGGTTTGCCTTCCTCCGAACTTGTGCGCCAAGGCCAGCCCTTTGCATAAAGGTTTGGCTCATGAAATTGCGAGACGCGCCGCTATCCAGCAAAGCAATGCAGGACGCTTGCCCAACCTGGATGCGGACATACATGAGTGGTGCGTTGTTGTCATCGTATCGCTGCATGCACAACTCGCGGCCACCTTGGTAACATACGCAAGGATGTCCCCCACCGCGACTTCGTCATCCGTCGATGAAGTTGGTGGTGCATAGAAGGATAAGTATGTGTGGAGATGAGCGCATAGTGCTGCGCATTGCGGTCCCGGCAAGCCACCCGTGGTCGGGAGAGGAAGCCATGCAGAGTCCTCGGACGTGAGGGGGTCCAATACCTCTATGTTGAAGTCGTGCGCCGAATCCTGTGAAGAACCACTTGAAGACGATAAGTCACCGCTGTCGGACGGAGAAGATGCCGCACACACGTCTTGTCCTTGAGCTTGAGTACCCAACGTAGGAACGAGCCGGGCAGCATAATCCTCAAAAGAATAAAGAAGAGGAGGATTATCGACTTCCGCATGTGCCTTGGAACGAAGGGCGGTCAACCGCAAAGCGACCGGTTCCGAAGGTGTCGAGAGTGTCGTCGAGTCACTCCCGGTGGTGCTCAGTTTCCCGATTTGCCCTTGCCTTTCGACGGGCAGGCCATTGTCTCATGGAGATCGTTGTTGCACCATAGGCAATAGTGAAATCTCGTGCGCGCTTTGAATGCTTGCTCGAAGAAACCGTATTGGGACCATGGGGTTCGAGCTGCTGCGCCAGGCCCGAGGCTAGATGTGGTGTTTGTCTTCGCCTTGCCGCGTCCTCGGCCTTTGCCGGGGCGGCCACCTTCCCGGGCGGCTGCGAGTCTGTCCCCTTCATTGGCAGACACGGCCTCGCTAGTTTGGTCAAATGGCGTTGCCGCCACGACCACAACCACTCTTGGCTGATGCTGGTCTCTGGTCAGGCCTGGCGCAGATGAACGCAAGTTCTTAGCCTCCTTGGTCGTGATGATAATCTGCTCGGCCTTGTCAAAGAGTTCCGCCGTTGTCGTCAAGGTGTCCTCGACGTGAGTCAGGGCATTGCTTAATGCCGGATACGACCTTGAGATGAAGTAGTGGCGGATGGCTTTGAAGCCCATCTGGATGTATGGGACGAATGTCGAGCGTTGGTACGCGGCAATCCAATCGACACTCGGCAACGTGCCTTGTTCGAAGACCATTAGCTTGTCCATTGCCTTGATCTCCGACGGCTCTGCTTGGAACCGCTTGTGCCACGCCACCTTCAGATCATCCTAGCTGATCTTGGTATGCAAGTCGGCAGCTACCACTTCGTACTTGGAAAAGAGATTGTCCAACCATGCCTGGCACACGCCCCCCGACCGGGAGTATAAGTACGTGTGGTGCTTGTGTTATTTGACGTAGTGTAGCTGCAGCATGAGCTCGAACTTGCGGAACCATGGAATTGGATCTGTCTTCATCGAGTCGCAGAAGATCTTCTGCCTGTCAAACTTTGGAGCTGTCTCGCGCGGTTCCGAACTCGAGTTGTTGGCGGTAGTACAAATCTGCTGCTCCAACTGTTGCGTTGCGGTCTGCTGTCACTGCACGCCGTCCTTGAGGGAGCCGACGTCAATCTCCAATGCTTCGAGGCGATCGGAGGTGTCGGAAGAGCTGGCATCGGGGGCGGCGACAGGTCACTGCTCCTGCTGCTGGAGGCGGCTGTGGACTTAAGTCAGCACGTCGTCGAGGTTGTGGATTTCCTCCTGCTGTGTAATGCATGTTGCCCGGAGGTCCGTGAGATGGGAGAGGAGTAGAGTGATCTTGTTTTCGCTATCCTCCATCTTGCCATTCTCGGCCTCGGCCCGCCAATCCGCTGCCATTGTGAGCAAAGTCGGCTCTCCGCTAAAGATCTTCTCACGACGTTGAACTCGTTCTTCATCGACAGCCTTTGCTGCTGCCTCGTCATGTTGGCGCTGTTGTTCAATTGCCAGCAGACGTGCCTGCTCGGCGTCCTCTGCCTTCTTCTTCGCTGCTGTTGCTGCGTCATCCGCCCGTCTCTTGGTTTCAGTACTCGAGGCCAGCATCCGGGCTTGATAGGCCTCGTCTGTTTCCCCGGACCTCTGGTCCACGACGGCTGTTTGTGAACGCAACAGCATAGACCAAGGGGGGGGCCTGCTGACGTGGTATTCCCTGCTGCTGACGTGGCACTCCTGTCGGCTAACGTGGCCTGCTGACGTGTCCTGCTGACGTGGTCTGCTGCTGTGTCATGTTGACGTAGTCTGCTGGCGTGGCCTGCTGATGTGGCAACTCACCAATGCCGCCGCAGGGGTTACCCGGAGATAGATAGAGAAGGTACGACCAGAGGGGGCAACAACATAGGTGGGGAGAGGTGGGTGGGATAATCGCCCAGATAACGCCCAGATAAGTAGCCACTAATCAAAAAAGAAAAGTTTGAACTTTGCAAAAAAAAAAAAAAGAAAAAAAAAAATCCCGAGTTTTGCAAGTTCAGCAGGTCTCCCAACCTCCCTTAAACGAACTTATCAATGAGAAAAAGTTTTCAAACTTCAGGCTGCAAATGATTATAGAACTGTGACTAACTCTGAAAAGAAATGACAAGTATATTGACTTACTCGGATGAGATTATTCGCAGTTTGGAAATTGGTACTGCAAGAGGGATTTCCCGTACCGTTTTCAGAAAAACGAATTTCGAAAAAAAATATTCCGAATTTCCAAATAACGGGAAATGCAACAGGAAATTGAAAATTTCCAAAAGAAAGATAATCCGTATTTTCAACAACGAAATTTCGAATTTTCAGAAGAAAAACGAAAACGGACATTTCAGATGTTGCGCTATTGCGATTTTCCAAAACAAAAATAGCGAGAAAACAAAATCCAAGAAAAAGAAAAAATTTCGATTTTCGGCAGTAAGGTCACAATCGTGATTTTGGGGGCTAACTAGTGTGCTTTAATCAATCAGTCAAGACTAATCAGCTACCTAGTCCCCGTACAGGTGTCAGATCAGGTTGTCCTGATTCATGTGCGGCGTTCCGATACCAACTGTTACATGCCCAGTTGGGCGATGTACATACAAAACCGAGGATCCGCAGTGTGATAAAAAGGATTGAATGGACAATGCAGTGCAAGTAGAATCTCAACAAGCAATGTGCATTCTGATACATACAAAATGGTGCTTTTATAGCGCAGGGAAGACTTAGATACAAATCCTGACCCCACCGGGACTGACCCCTTTCACGTAGTACAAGATAGCGAAGCAGAATGCTAGAATACTAATGACTAACCCAATCAATGTTTCAACGCAAACCAAACATACATCATGCTCATCACAAGATGTGAAGGAGCCTGGCGGAAGGAAGCGCCAGGTCCAGACATATACAGACCAAGAGGAGGGGATCGGACGAAGAAGAGGGGGAGAGATGGGACATTTTGGTTGGTAAAAGACTCTAGCTAACCTCATGCGCATGTACATATGGCCTGGGATGAAGGCCGACTGCATAAAGTATGTTCGCAGTTGTAAGGTCTGTCAGAGAAATAAGACCTCTACGCGTGCCCCTTTAGGTCTTCTCAGACCCTTGCCTATTCCTGATCAGCCAGGAGATTCAGTGTCCATTGACTTTATGGACACCCATGTCAAGAGTAGGCACGGCAAGAGCCAAGTCATGGTAATAGTTGACAGGTCTAGTAAGTATGCTGTTTTTGTTCCTTTGCCCGCAGAGGCGCACACTGAATTAGTTATTCAGAAGTTTTTTGATAATTGGTTCAGTGAACACGGGATTCCACTGTCTATAGTTAGTGATAGAGACACCCGGTTCACTAGTCAAAACTGGCAGGAGTTGACGAGAGTCTATGGCTCCAAGTTGTTGATGTCATCTGACAGTCATCCAGAGACTAACGGTCAGACTGAATAGATGAATAAGATCCTGCAACAAGTTCTGCGTATGTACATTAGACCGGATCAGTTCAATTGGGATGAGATGTTGCCCAAAGTAGTCAGTGCGTACAATAACAGTGTGCACTTGTCTACGTGTTGCACTCCCAACAAGTTACACAAGTCCTTTAGACCACGCAGACCGTTCGAGGGACTTAATCGGGATCAGATTCACAGGCTACCGCCCGGTGTACAGGCCGTACCCTGAAGGACTTTCGAGCCTGAGTCGACCCCACTGCGGGCCCCATTTGGCTCGACCCGCCCACGCTCACGCTCAGGGTGCGGGTCGTTCGTCCCAGGGGCACCCCCACCTAGTGCTATGAGATGGATGGGGATGGGCCTTTTGCGAGAGGACTTTACATTGGGGGATGTAGCTTTGCTCTCGCGATAGATGGTAGCTCTTTGAACACTCGTGACGTTTTCTCGATTCGTTTAAGTGTGACCAGGCAATTGCTCCTTCCAATACACAGGCGGTCTAGGGAGTTCGTTGAGAATTCGTCTTCTTTCGTGTGTAGGCCAAGCGTCATCCATTGGGCCACACACCCTTTCACTAAGCATGGCAATCTCAATGGCGTCATTGGGGTGCGGCCACACCGTCCATGCCCCTAGCCCCTATATTTTTTTTGCTTGACAACCATCCTACCCGCGTATCCATTGCCGCCCTTAGTCTTTTCGGGCTTTCGAATTGCACACAAAAGAGCCATGTCATCCATTCATCATGCAGGGTTGCACTCAGTCGTCAGTCCTTTACCCAAGCACTCAACCATCAAGTCCCACCCACATTCACAGTTTACACTAGGCCCAAGTCCCTCCCTTGTCGATTTTCCCATTCTTGCCCGCATTCCGCGGATTCGGTCCCGCTCAAACCATCCTAAGCTACTCACCTGCGCAAGTCCACACAAAACAAAGACCAAGTACAATCCCCATTGGGGTCAACACATCGCCCCTCCCACAAGCCTAAGGTCCTTTCTCTTTCGATGGCCCGTTTAGTTCTCTTTTCCTTCCTTCAAGCAAGCCATGCCTCTTCCTTAGTCATGCAGTCGGGGAGAATGGTTGAGTCAAACTGACCTGGTCTCAAGCCTTTACTTTTTCAACTCTTTCAATAGATCCTTCCTTTCCAAGTTTTCGCAGCGATCCCGTTCCTTTCCTTCTTGGTGGCAAAAGGGGCTGACAACCCTCCCCTTGCCCTCTCTCTCCACCAAGTGAGGACCGAGTTCGTTTACCGTTCGTCCCCTGGCAATGTAACAAGTAAGGGAAAGGTTAGTCACGTGCCAAGAAGTGAGAAGGAGAGGGAGAAGGGGGGTGAAGGCCGGGGTCTAGAAGGAAAGGGCGAAAGAGAGTGAGAGAGAGATGGAGAGAGAGAGAGAGTGAGGAGAGGGAGAGGATGAAAGGGAATGTGTGTGTGTGTGTGTGTGTGAGAGAGAGAGAGAGAGAGAGAGAGAGAGAGAGAGAGAGAGAGAGAGAGAGAGAGAGAGTAAAGTTTCCCTTATCCTAATCAACCCCACTTCTTTACCCATCCTACCGGCCGAAGTAAGGTCCCTCTTGCCCCTTGGCGCCCACCCCTTTGCCTACGACCCTTGGGTGGTGGAAGGAGGCAGTGGAGAAGGAAGGTGGAAGGTGACCGGCTATGGGGGATGGGGGTAGGTGAAGGTGGAGGGAGAAGGTGCAAGGTGGTCGGCTATGGTGGATGGGTGTAGGTGAAGGAGGAGGAAGGAGATGCAAGGTGGTTGGCTATGGTGGACGGGTGTAGGTGAAGGTGGAGAAAGAAGGTGGATGATGGTTGGCTATGGTGGATGCGCGTAGGTGAACGTGGGGGAAGAAGGTGCAAGGCGGTTGGCTATGGTGGATGGGTGTAGGCGGAGGTCGAGGAAGAAGGTGCAAGGTGGTTGGCTATGGAGGATGGGTGTAGGTGAAGGTGGAGGATGAAGGTGCAAGATGGATGGCTATGGTGGATGGGTGTGGGAGATGGCGGAGGATGAAGGTGGGAGGAGGTCGGTTATGGTGGACGGGTGTGAGTGATGGAGGAGGAAGGAGGTGCAAGGTGGTTGGCTATAGTGGAAGGGTGTAGGCGAAGGCGGAGGAAGAAGGTGCAAGGTGGTTGGCTATGGTGGATGGGTGTAGGTGAAGGTGGAGGATGAAGGTGCAAGATGGATGGCTATGGTGGATGGGTGTGGGAGATGGTGGAGGATGAAGGTGGGAGGAGGTCGGTTATGGTGGACGGGTGTGAGTGATGGCGGAAGGTGGTTGACTATGGTGGATGGGTGTAGGTGAAGGTGGAGGAAGAAGGTGCAAGGTGGATGGCTATGGTGGATGGGTGCGAGAGATGGTGGAGGATGAAGGTGCACGGTGGGTGGCTATGGTGGATGGGTGTAGGTGAAGGTGGAGGATGAAGGTGGGAGGAGGTCGGTTATGGTGGACGGGCGTGAGTGATGGAGGAGGAAGGAGGTGCAAGGTGGTTGGCTATGGTGGATGGGTGCGGGAGATGGTGGAGGATGAAGGTGGGAGGGGGTGAGTGATGGAGGAGGAAGGAGGTGCAAGGTGGTTGGCTATGGTGGATGGGTGTGGCATACTGCGTAGCCACACGGGCCCTGTAGGGCCCGTCTCGGACATTCAGCCTAAAAGCCTAAAACTTAGGGCTTACAGGCCCCGTTCGTTTCAGCATGAAAGCTGAAAAACGAGGGCCTGCAGGCCCTACCCCGTTTCAGCCTATTTCTGGGTCTTTTTAGACCCAAAGTTTTCAGCCTGAAACGGAGGGCCATTTTCAGGCCCTCATTGTTTCGACCTGCCCCTAAGACTCAGGCACGTAAACAGGGATGCGGAACAGGCCAGAAATAGCCTGTTCCTCACGAGTTTGAGCAGGAGCTGCAGCTGCAGCCCCTGCCTCCCTTCGGCAGGCTCAGGAGGCAC